TGTTTTTGTTTGCGGTTGGGGGTTTTGGGGGGTTGGGGGGTGGGGGGGGTTGGGATATTCCGTGTGGGGTTTTCTTTTTTTTTTTTTTTTGGGTTTTTTTTTTTTTTTTTTGTTGTTGTTGTTGCTAACTTTATCTTCAGGAGAGACGGAAGCGCCATCGACGATGAGACCTGATTCTGATTCCGATAATGATGATATCCCGATTCTTTTTCAACACCCCACCCCCCCGCGCCGATAAACAAATACCACGCCCGCTACATCTACCATTTCGAACGAAGGAGGGGAGGGGGGACACCTACCCATGCGAATTCCTTCCTTTTATTGTTTTCTTATTTTCTTTCCATAATATACCGGAGTTCTCCTCGGCAGGTTGGATGGGTGAATACATTTCTTTTCTTTTCTTTTCTTTTTTTTTTTTTTTTTGTATTTTGTATTCTGATAGAGGGCAGGCAAACCACCCATCCATTTCTACACATGTTATAAAAAGGGGCAGCGTTGGGCGTTTTCCACTTCCTTTCCTCTGCTCTTCTCGTCCTTTTTGTGTCCTAGGTATTAGAAAGGGGCTACAGGCTACATGACTGGCAATCGAAATAATGTGTTGCTTTTTAGGGAACCAGAAACGATCAGCAATCCATATGGAAATTCAACAGCTATTGATATCAATAAGCTAAGATTCAATTCGATCTCGCGACACCCAAAAAGGGTAAGAATAAAACTAAAACTAAGGGTAACTATATAAACACAAACGCCCACATAAAAAAACCAATCATTATAGGTAAACCAAATCCATCCAAAATATTATATCCACGCTTTAAATCAAAACAAAGCTTTTCATGACTTGATGATCTTCTCCAACGACTCGAGGAGGATATCAGCTGTTTCACACAAACAACACGTTAGCGTCCATCCGACGTATCAAATAAAGGGTCCACTTACCATGATGCTTCTGGAAAATCAACATAGGGCGCAACCGCACGGCGCTCACTCCACTTCCGCCAATATTAACGCCAACCGACTTGGCCTTCTTCAAGACAGCGTCACGTTGAGGGCTGTCCCAGGCAATAAAGGTTCCCTGCCCCTTGCCTCTCAGGTTCTGGAACTCACCAGGATACTGTCCAGCCAGCCGTTCGAGGCCAGCATACAGGTATTTGCCAGTAGCGGCAGTGTGATTAACAAGGTCCAGGCGCTCGATCTCCTGGATAATGGCGCGGAAGAGGATGACGCGGGCTGGGTCACCCATCCAAGTGTTGAACTGGCGGTATGGCATGTTAGGTCGCAGGGCTGGGTTTCCGTAGTAGTATCCGGCAGTCTGGGCCTTCTTGGAGAAAGTGACAATGTCTGGGGGAGACTGGAGATTCCAGTGGTCATGGGCCCAGAATTTTCCGGTGGCTCCAACGCCGGTCTGCACCTCGTCGACGATGAGGAGGACATTGTTGCGCTGGGTGATGTCACGCAGGCCCTGGAAGAAGGCTGGGGAGGCGTGGTTGTCTCCGCCCTCGGACTGGACGGGCTCGACTACAACGGCGGCCACGGGGTTGTGGAATTCCTTGATGAGTCGCTCGGTCTCTGCTAGGCATCGCTGTTCTTCAGCTGCGTTTTCTGCCGCGAACTCCTCCAGGGGATACTTCAAGCTTGGGAAGGGGGCCTGGGGCCAGTCGAAGGCTGGAATATCAAGCTTATGGATGGGCTTGCTCCGGGTGGTAGAAAGGGAGCCGAAGAGACGTCCGTGGAAGGCAGACTTGAAGGACAGGATGGAGGCCTGTGGGGAGCCAGGGGCCTGATTGACCATGGTGGAGGATATCTCTTCGGGTGTGAATTCTGCTTCTGGGCCACCTCGTTTGAGTTGGGCGTGGTACATGAAGGCAGCTTTATATGCGGTCTCGTTGGCATCCGATCCAGACATGCCCGTGAATACCTGGTTAAGACCCTTGGGTGCAACCTTCAAGAGACCAATTTTGAGCAGGGACGCATAGTCGTGGGATGGGAAGTTGCCCAGGGCTGGTCGGTTGATCAGGGCATTGATCATCTCTGGGGTTTGCGCAGCAGCACGTAGGCTGGGGTTGTTGTATCCGACGGGAATGGAGGCAATCTGGGCATATCTATACGGGATCGTTAGGACTTTTCTGGTATATCATTGGCCTCCGGGAACGTTAACTTACACGTCCAGGAGAACATTTCCATCAAGATCCGCAATGCTATGAATAACTAGTTAGCTCTGTCCACGTTCAATAGTCGCATGTATCTAGCACGTACTAATTGCCAACGCTCTTCTCATAGTTCGCCATCATGTTTAGGCTTCTGACATCAAATATCTCGTTCAACTCTGCAGCCGCTTGCTGGTTCTTCACGCCTGGAATGCTAGTTTTGACGTTGGGCTCAGAGGGCTCATTGGGGAAGAAGGGCTTCTCCGCAGCGGCACCAGCACGAAGGGCCCGGCTGGTTGCGAAGGAGCGGGCAGCGGGGAGACGGGCAAAGGCCCTCCGGCTGGGAATTGAGCGGAAAACCGAGGCCATTATGGCTAGATAGAAGGGGGAGTAGGAGGTGTGTTGGAGAAGAGGAAGCGATAAGCAGCGATTGTGCAGTGGTAGTAGGTAGGGTATGGCGACAAGGCTTATCAGTAATCCAAGACCGGCTGGTTACCTGGCAATTGCTTCACACACGCAGCTCCGGGGGTATCTGTCAGGGACGCGGAGGAGGAGAGAAATGGCCGACGAGACGCAGAGAGCAGCAGGCGCCCGGCTTATAAAAGAATCGCGGCGGGTGCAAGTCGCCGTCGCTATCGATAATCGGGGTTGCGGGTGCCAAGAAAACAGCTCGGGAGGTGCATAGTTGCCCAAAACGGACAGCTCCCTCGCGCCCCGCCTTTCTGGGCGGCGTTTGCAGCCAATCAGCGCGCCCGCCGGCAGCCGAGCCCCATGCGGCAGGCCCAGCCCGCCCAGCGTGCGGGCCGGAGATGTTCCGCCCGATAAGATAAGCCCGGCTGGTCCTGCGGTCTGCGGCGGGCGGAGTGGCGGCGAGTGCATATTGGCTGCTGCTGCCCGGCGGCTTGCCGGGCTCGGGATGGTTGCTGAAGCGCCGCTGAGGTAGTTACACTTGAACTAATGGGTGAACTGTCTTTGTTTCGCATATGTTCATGTTGTACTGCGTGGGTGCGGGGTACATAGTATCCTGACAATATATATATCGAGACTTGGATTGGACTATCAGGAGAAACTCCAAGACCATCTCATCTGCCTCTACTCCGTATAGACGAAAATCATACCGATATCAACATAAACTGCATCTAGCGACACTGCTGTCAATAGGAGTCAAAACCATCTCTTATTAAAAAAAAAAGGATCAACCACCCCACGCAAACCCAACATTCTCACCAAAATAGAAAATAAAAATCCAAAAAATGGACGATCAGGGAATCGAACCCTGGACCACCCCCAAGTAGATTCGAATTAGAATTCGAGATGCTAAGGGGGTATTATACCACTAAACCAATCGCCCATGTTTGGATATCGGCTGTCTGCGGAATCTGAATTTTCTTTCATTTGGGTTAGGGTTTCGGTTAAGGTCGCGGGGCCGCGGCGAAGTAGCCGAAACGTTCCAAGGGGGCTACCCAAGAAGAACACCTCCTCGGTTGATACTGTCATCCACCTGCTGCGGGAATATGGGTAACTAGTTTGTCCATGTATGGAGAGGATAGGTGCGTGTCATTATATAAAAAGAGGCTGAGTGGAACGCTTTGTTGCTCAACCATGTATGTGCATATATGCGCATGTATGTATGTACATACATACCTAGTTCGAGGTATGTATGCTGTAGGTCAGGCAAAGTAATGGTGGAAAAGTTATTGTTATCATGGCAAGGGGTCTGGTCCGTCTCTATGATATAAAATTACTTACCTGGAGAAGCAAGGTGGAAAATCTGCTCCGTAATAGTATTAAGGATCCCCCCTCCCCTTTTCCCTTCAAGTTCCTGTCTGTTAAATAGCGGCCTATTATGCTATCTACGTCAAACACCAATAAACACCAGCTATCATATTTCCTGTAACCGGATGTTCGATTCTTAGAACGAACATGCAAAGAAACCTGAGTTTCATCCTGGCTGGCTATTGCTCTCCCATGAATTGACGTTGACTGATATTAGTTGGATGGCTTCAATAGATAAGAGGAGGTGGGCGGGACGTGGGTTACTATCTACTACTCTGCCCACAGAGTTAAAATGTCTCGAACAACAATAATGCCTTTTTTTTTGAGCTGGGTAGTAAATGGAATGAACGCTTAATGCGGGACGGCGCATATAGCGAAATTCTTGTTTCTGACAAACGAGCTAGCTCTCCGTCCCAGACATGGGAGTATTTAAAAAAGAGAAACACAGAAACGCGAAATATAACCAAACAACCTAGAAAACCAATAAATGCTCCAAACAAAGCGATATTATAAAACAAATAAAAAGATAGGAGGCTAATCTCAACGCCTGGCCTGGCACGCTGTATGTGATATTTGCAAATTGGGTACGCCTTTTTTTTTGGTGAAATTATATTAGTAGGAAATTAGACCACAGAATGGAAAAAAGGAGGCGGCTGGAAGGCAACGAGCTGCTGGGAAGTGATTATTTGGCAAAAAAAATATTATGCCAACTCCGCATTATTGCCCCGCGCCTCCAAGATCCTTTCCCGCGTGCCACCGTTTTGCAGTGTAGATGGAGCAATAGTAGCTTTGGCTTTCAAAGCTGCGCGGATGTCGTCAAGGCTGCGTTCCTTCCACGATGGTGCGCTGCTCTTGCTGAGTGGGAAGAGGACCATGTTATCATTGCGGTGGACGAAGGAACCGGGCTGTGGTGGTGGGGAGGAGGTGATGATATCGAGATCGGCAGCGACTTGGTTGCAGAATACGTCAAGAGGGAGATCGTTAACATCATTTCCGAAGGGGTTTTCGATTTCATCGCAGATGGCGGCGATACCGTGGATGATGTAAGTGGCGACTGGATAATCAGATTAGTTAAAGGGGAAATTCCTAGAGTGTGTAAAAGGATATGTTGGTGGGGGGGGGGACGGAAAGGAAAAAGAGATCATACTAATTGAACCGGGGATTGTGATCCACCGGAGCTCTGGGAAAAGTTGGAAGGGCAAGGCGATAACGTAGATCCACGTAATTTGGGAGATAAGGATTGCGTATGCGACGGGTATAGGGGTATTGAGAACGCGCTCTGCTCCGGTCATGACTTCGTCCATGGTGGAGAGGGCAGCAGCTACAAAATTGTGAGTAAAATTGTCTCCAATAGGGGATATACAGGAGTTACGACATACCGGCCTGGGACTGATAAACAGGCAATTTCAAAAAGCCCTCTGATATGATACTATCGACGTAGGCTGACAAGTGGGTAAGAATTTCCAAGGGAAGGTTTCCTAGCGGCTTTCGCGAGCGCTTGATTGCTTTTCTTGGATTCGAAATTGCAAATGGGATGCTAAGATATGACCCCACAGCCTTCATCATGCCTGGTTTCGGGAGGCCGGGGGCATTGGGTTCGTGAGCGGCCTTTGCGAATGTATCGAGATGTGCGATGAGACCTGCAAGATCTTCATAATGGAAATCGGGTTCGAACCGGAGCTTGTGCTTTAGAGCGATCGAAAATGCCACGATCAGATTGATGCCGGTGCTAGTTAAAACCGTTAGATGAGACCCATGGCTTGGGGTTGACGCGGGACGAACAGTTTCCCCAGCAGATCGTCTTTTCCCGCTTCTCCTTCCTGTTCTTCGGTGTGAATCCAGATAATACGTGCAAGTGTCCGGGAAGCTTGCATTAGAGTGGCCCAGTATTTCCGTCCTTCTGCATACCTTTGAAATTGTCAGCAAAATCCGCGTTATATAATGGCACCCAACTTTTGACTTACCGCTCGTATGCCGTCGAGCTTCGTAGGGAGAGTGCGAGACCAACGACGAAACCCAACACAGTAAGAAGAATAGACGAGATCCCAACTGTACATGGGGTTAGTGTCCTGAAAAGAAATACGTATGCAGTGGTACTCACGGGGGTAAACGAAAATTGATATACTGGTAATCAGCGTGGACCAGCAGGCCATAAAGAACAAGGGTATAATCATCCGCGGGGTAACCGACCCGTGGATCCTCATAAATGCGGGCCATTTGGAGTGTCTATCGAGATTTCGAGGTCCAACCTAGACATTGGGCGTGTGTGAGTATTTCGGTTATTGAAGTGTTTGGTTTCTAGGAGATTGGATACGCCTAGGTTTGCACCCGAAATGACTGTACGTACAAAATAATCATCAAGATCAATGGTATCTCTCTGGGTTAGCAATTGATGTGGCAGCTTGCTCTCATGGGAGTTCATGCTGGTGGAAAGGTAGGTCGGTCGAGGAGTGAGGGTCGGTGTTGGTGATCCATCTGAACTCGATGGTTTCTTCACAGGTGGTTGAGCTTGCTTTGGTGAGTGGTGCACCTGTTCGACATGAACTCCGCCGTCCGCCATGATCAGGCACTGAGCGCACAAAAGGCGACGAAAAGGAAATTACCAATAGTTATTGGATGGGCAATGGATGAGCAAAGGAATGTAATAATGAGCTATATATAGTAAGGAAAATCATGCAATGTGAGATAGAGGCGGAGATCGAGGATTCTCTCAACAAGAGAAAAAAAGTTCAAAAAGATGAGGAGAGGAAGAAGAAAAAAATCGAAGGAACCCACACGCCTCGGGTTCGTGAAGAAATTATAAACCGTCCCCATCCTGAGGTGAACTCGACCGGACTCCTGAAACAAAGGTAGACAGGGGCCACTGGCCAGGCTTCGGATCCATAAAATCCGGCGAATTATCCTCAAACAGGAGGAAATTGGCGTGAAGAATGTTCAACTCTTTGGCCCCCACAAACCCAGTCTAACGCCGTGTGTATCTATTCTTGCATTTACTTCCGCGTTGCCGTAATGTGGATATGAAGGCAAAAATAATAGGAGACTCGGCAGCAGCAGTCGGAGTGAAGTCCAAGTCGGGTCCCTCTAGCCCCCCCCTGGTCAACTCTGGCGTCGGCGCTAGGCCACGGCTGACACTCACGCTGGGGTCCAGAATCCTCCGGCCCGAACTGTGACCTCACAGTGGCAGAGGGGAATAGGACAACGAAGTGAAAGCCGGGGACATTATGGACACAGTCTCCATGGGTTGAGGATCAGACAGTGGCCGTCTGCACGGACTTTGAACCCGCAGCCCTCATCAAATATGTTATGACTGAGGATCCAGGACACCGATGGGATAGAGCCTATCACTGCAGCCAAGAGATTGCCCCCAGCCGTAAGTGGGTCACTACCCGGCTTGAACCGTTGACGGCGTTGAGTCAATGTAACAGCATTGTCGCAAGCACGACAACGTCGGCAAGTTGACGACAACACAGAACCTTCTCCTCCGTACGCAACTGGCACTGGGCAGTAAGAGGAAACGGATCGAAAATAATAATCCAGCGTCCTCGTGACGGTGCCCGCCTCAGGCTCACGGGCACTAGTACCCCTGGTAAACAAGGGTTATTGTCATGGATGCCAATGCTTGAGGTCCGTGGGCGATGCTGAGAAATTCCAGTTTGAGCTGCGATGCCTGAGACAAAGGTCAGGGGTAAGTCACGTGGTTGCAAGCCTGCAAGGGGGTCACCGCGGGTCGGTTGGGTTTGCCATAAAATCCGCATTGGACAAGAAAAGCGAGATTGTTCCCCCTGAACCTATATGGCACGGAATTATTCTCTTTTTTGGAGTGCTGCTTTGATACTTGCATTGACGTTGACTACTGGACCTTCATCAATACGGTTCACTGACCAGTCTGGAGAAGTCCGCAGGTAGAGAGGAGCGATGGAATGACAGGGCCCATTCTGTTGGTTATAAATAGACACAATGACATACAGCCGATCCTTCAGCCCTATTTTCCTGTTGAGAGAGAGAAAAAAAGCTTCCCATCCATCGCGCACGTGATTATTGAGCCAATCTTCCACAGGGGTTTGCTTCGTATTCTTGTCCCCACTGTGCCTCTTGTGCATTCTGTTGGTCCATCCGGAATCCACTGTCCGGGCAGACGTGCGAGTGTTTTTATTATTATATTGCGGCGGGGAGGGCGTATAAACGTGTGAGGGGCACTAGACTGGATTGGGAAACAGCCCCTGGCACCCGACGCGCTTCGGGAAAGAACCACAGCAGGGTTGCCCACGCAGCTTGCAGCAGAGACTCCACACAAGACCCTCTAGCGCTTCTCAGGTCGGTGTGGCCGTTAATTTATTAGTAATGAAGGAATGCCTGAGCCCCCACTCTTTGGACGGAATCTGGTGAAAAGTTTAAAACAGACGGTTGGACTCCCGGATGTGAGCTATTTTTAGATTTGGCATTCAGTGTGGCTGTTCTCTAGAACCCCCCTTTGACCATTCATGTGGATATAGCCTTGGAAATGGGTGGTTCGACTGGTCTACATTTGTTGGATGAGGTAATCAGACCCTGGCGCGGACTTCCCATACAAACATG